GCTACCGTTCAAGCCACCGAGCACCGGCTTCAGCGGAATTTGACATTTAAACATGAAAATGGTAACATTTTGAATTTAGAAACATCCACAGATATATTCATACGGCGGTTATCATGGAACCTTTAATGTGGCACTTTCATGCCATTCCTTGAGAAGCGGTGTATTGCCCTTAAGGAAAAGGAAGCGCGTGCAGCATAAACGAGAAAACAATCAGCGTAACAAAATACAATGGAATTTTGAAAGAGGATCAGAGGTTATGAAGCCTGCATATCACAGATAAGACGTCAACAGACACATTTTAAATGCAGGCAACATATCCAAAGGGTGATTCAACATCATTCAAACTGGAATATTGGAACCACCCAACTGAAGTAAAAACAAAAAGTACATGCACCACAAACATAACAATAATGTCGTGCTTAACTAGTTCTTGCTTCCAAAACTGTATAAAATATGATAAGATCAACAAGGAAGGGCGGCGTCCGCTAAAAACTTTAAGCTAGTGCTGAACGATTTATAAGGATCGGGAATATAACAACACATGACCATCAACAGGCATCATATGGCATGTAAATTAATTTATTTAATAATACTTACAATATATGTGAATATAATAAGATGAATGAAAAGAGATAAAGAAGAAGCAACGCAGCGGAAAGAATATTTGTTATCAAACAGCAGACAGATTGAACAAGTAAAACATTACTGCCGAGAGGTCGAATCGTTTCTTATTTTGCTTATATACCAACTGCCGAGGTGTCGGAATGTCCCGATACCTTAAAAAGTAGCAAGTATTAAGTAGCATGTAGCAAGCGGCAGGTAGAAATATCAAGGGACAAGTTGCGTGTTGTGACCTGCATTCCATTCTCGAAATTTTATTCATGGAATAATTGATAATGGGTAATACGAATGCATTAAGTCAGTCATATTTCGTTAATAATCCTATTGTCCGTGTGTCTAAACGTTTCAAGTGGTAAGTGGCAAGCAGCATGCAGCAAATAGCAATTGGTGTGTAACAAATGGAAGTAGCAAATGGCAAGTAGCAAGCAGCAAGCAGAGATGCATTTTATATCCCTCAAAAACTTTAGAACGGAAAAAGCCGAAATTGAGCCATATTTCTGATCAAATATTTGACGTGTTTGAAGCGAAAGGTGGAATTGTTTGGGAAGATCTTAAGTTTAACTTATTTTTAGCCCATTTCTGAGTTAATAAATATTTAGGTGCATTTTGAATATATTAATTATATAAAGATTGAGCCAGATGATTCTTAAAAATATTTAGTTAATTGTTTTTGTAGGTTTTTTTATCAGAAATGGTATCATTACTGGGATCTCAAATTAAAGTAGGTCTCCTTCATAATTTTAGATTATAGTGAAAAACTATATACAGGGACAGTGAAACTTGCACCTCGCACAGAAGGAAGGACGGTCAGACGGACGCTTTAAAATATATGCATTACAAATTAATAAGCATGTATCAACTATGTTACACCTAAAATAGCTATGATCACAGATATACCGACAACACAGGATGTGCTATCTGTAGATCAGCACGAGGTAAGGTTAATGATATGCATCGGCTATTTTTAGGTTACCTCACCAAGACGTTTAAACTCTACGTTATAAAAGACTCAGAAGATCTAAACATAACTCGATCATGCACTAATATTCTGTGATTCGGTCACGATCTTTTGGTAAGCAGGACCGCCCTTTGGAGACGGTATACTACTACAGTAACCATTCTCTATTGTATAACACTAATGAAGACAAAAACCAATTATAAAAGAAACTAACTTTTGCGTTTTGAAAAAGAATTTAAACGGAACAATTTCGTTTATAATATATTTCTTTCTTCTACTTACGCTTTAAACCGATAAATCAAGTAAAAATAGAAATCCTATATTACTTCGTCTGATTCCGCAGTATGACGGAATCGCCCGAATTGTCACGATTGCAATCGGAAGTGCCTCAGCTATTATCATTAATCCAAAGAGTGACGGAAAGAGCCGAAAAGTTGCGATTGACACGATTGCAGCGGAAACATAGACTGGTTTCCCGTTCAATCATGCACTAACAAATGTAAGCAGGAATAACTTTTCCAAAACAAATGGCTGTGGCCGCAAGCCAAAAACTTTTTCTTGTTTTCATGTTTGTAGTTATATTTGTGTCATTTGTTATAGCAATAATAAGAAAGACAGAACGGTATCTTACAGGCGGCTCACAAGATTTTGCGGTTTTATTTCCCGTTCCTGTTTGAAATTTCACCGCTTCATGGTTTTTCTGTGGACATTGTGAGCGGCCTATTGTGTTGTGCCCATATTTTGATTATAATGGCGGAATATGAACGTTTTCAAAAATTAATAAAAAATTAATTTTTCTTGGTTTTAAACCATAAATTCTCTATAAAAGTAATATAACAAATTTGAAAATTTGACAATTTTAAATGGACGGATACTTGACTTCAGGATAAACCGGGTCCCTGAGTAGAATCACACACTTTCCATTAGCTCCATGGATAAAATACTCTCAGATTAAAACGAAAACAGTATTTCATACACTGAATGGTCTATATGCATTGCAATTATGGCGCCGCCACAATATGTTTCATAATTCATGTAGGGTTATGGTCTATTCTGTACTGAACTGAAATCCTGTCAGGTTATATGAGGTATATGTGTTGATTTTAACACAGCTGTTACGAGCAGTTAAGGACTATTTAAAAAATATGACAAAAACATTCTTAACTTTTTAATGAATGTACGAATATAAAGCATACACATTTAAGTACATAAGATTGTTAAACATTTATTCATAAATACCTGCACAGGGAAAAAAGATTTCTTTTAGGTACATAAGTACATGTATATCAAAATCTAAGATTGGAATATCTACTAGGAAAATTTAAATTTGTAAAACTTATAGAGATAAATGTGTAATTGAATTAGACATTTCAATCGTGTAAAGTGGTAGTGTTTCCAAACTCTATTATAAAAGATATAATTATTGACACAAAAAGTAGTACTAAAAAGTGAAATTTCCTCGGATAAGCTGAATAGTTTTAATAATTTATGAAATGATCACTATATAATCAACATTTTATTACATTAAATATGTGCTTACAATATTTAAAACACCAATCATAAACTTAAGAAGTAATGGTACTTTAACGTTAAATAATAGACAATAACAAGTGAGTGTTATGAAGTGCGATTAAAACACCAAATATACCTTTCTATACAATATTACAAAAGATGTTAAATAAAAAAGCCTAAAGGTATTTTGGTTACAAGTGTCGACAAGCAAATTCGTTGAATTTATATCCCCCGCCGAGTACTGGTTATTATTAACACAACAACTGAAGACATAAGGCTTTATTTATATATTAATCATGGCATAAACTGGTAAATATTCTTTGAACTTGAAGCCTTGTCCTTCAACAAGAATTTTTTAAGTTTTCACTAAAAATACATATAAGGAAATCTATGACCCCTGGAGTGGGGCCAATTTTGACCCCAATGGGGCTAAAATTTGAACAATTTTGGTAAGAGGACCTATAGGTTTAATAATCTTATACCAAATATCAAAGCTCTAGGCCTTGTACTTTCAGACAAGATTTTTTTAATTTTGCATTTTTGAAACTCCTTTTCTGGCCGCTGTGACCTACTTATGCAAACAGAACCGGAACCCATTTGAATTCAACTTTGGCCAGGGGACCACCCTAAGGATCATTCCTGTAAAGTTTGGTTGCTGTGCAGTCATATTGTTTCTGAAGGAATGTTTGTTTTAAAGAAATTGGCTGACGGACGCACGACGACGGAGCGGTGGGGGATCCACAAATAGCTCACATTAGATGTAAAAACATCTTAATCTCCAGAACTTCAATTGCCATTTTCAAGCATAAAAGGGATCTAAATTTTCAATAATTTTTAAATGTTATTGTAGACAAATTAATTTTAATTCTTCTTTAATAAAAACTAGAATGTGTCCCACAGGACACGGGTGCCCCACCGCGCGCACTGTTCTGTCAATCTTATGATCTAGGTCAAATATTTTTTGAAAAACTAAAAAAATCTTTTTTACTAAGTAAAGGGGCAAGCAACTTTAAAAATACTGAATAAATTCCCAGCCAAACCACAAGTTGAAAATGAAATTTATACTAAACTGTAATTAGGGCAATAACTCTAACAAAACTGAAAAAAATCCCATGCAAAGTCCCAGTTCATTAAGCATCACAGTGAGGTGAATCATTATTCCTGTAATTTAGGTGGATGTTGATCATTATTCCTGTAAAGTTGGTCGATCACTAACTCAAGCACTCCTGGGAGCAAGGATCAAATAACAACATAATAAACAGTTTTTTAACTAAGTCAAGGGAAATAAACTCTACAAATACTGGATAAATCCACAAGCGAAACCCAGGGAAGCAAACTAAAATATGCCTGAGCAACTTTCCAATAAAGGTTTAATGACCTCTATGTCAAATTCCTTTTTTGAGTTACATGGCGACAACATGTTGAAAATTGCAAACATTTTTCTAAGTCAAAGGGTAATAACTCGAAAAATACTAAATAAATCCAGACGAAAATTTACCCAGGTGCACAACTACACATGTGATCAACATTCCTGTAAAGTATCATGACTCTAGGTCAAATACTTTTTGAGTTACATGCGACACAAGTTGAAAATTACAAAATTTTACTAACTCAAGGGCAAATAACTCTAAAAATACTAAAAATATCCAGACGAAAATACCCAGGTGCACAACTACACATACTGATCAACATTCCTGTAAAGTTTCATGACTCTAGGTCAAATACTTTTTTGAGTTTCATGCGACACAAGTTGAAAATTACAAAATTTTACTAAGTCAAGGGCAATAACTCTTAAAATACTAAAAATATCCAGACGAAAATACCCAGGTGCACAAACTTCACATGCTGATCAACATTCCCATAAAGTTTCGTTGAATTCCAGCATTAGTTGCAGAGAACTACTCGGAAACGAAATTCGGACAAAATTTTACTGAGTCAAGGGCAATTACTCTAAAAATACTAAAAATATCCAGACGAAAATACCCAGGTGCACAACTTCACATGCTGATCAACATTCCCATAAAGTTTCGTTGAATTCCAGCCATTAGTTGCAGAGAACTACTCCGGAAACGAAATTCGGACGGACGGACGGACGGAAGGACGGACGGACAACGCCAAAACTATATCCCCCTCCCGATTCCATCGGCGGGGGATAATAACCTACACAAATTCCTTTTTGCAATCCAAACAAAATTGTGCTTTTTTTCATTTGTTGTATTTGGTACACTGGAGGTAATGATATAATTTCACAAATATCAAATATACACAGATTTATAACCTGTAGATCTATTTCTTTCGACGAATTTTCATTTCTACGGTTTCCATCGAAGTGTAAGGTCCTTTCCACTGGTACCAGTTTGTACCCTTTCCGCGGACGTTAGAACCATACAGTCCATTTAGGTTTGAATGATGACAGTCACTATACCACCACGCACCGTGAAACTCAACTGCACAATTAGATTTGTACAGGTCGTTGTCTCTGTCATTTGTAGAAAACTTCATTTCATTATGACGCGCAAGAGCGTCACCTGCAGTACCAGAGTATCCGTCAACATGCAGCTTGTAACTGGATTCAGAATCACCAATAAAAAAATGACTGTACTCTGCAAATGCAGATTCTCCTTGAAAGCTGATAAGCTCAACTCGAAGCTGATATTTGCCTTGGCTGGTGATCTCATGTATAAAGCGGTTCCCAAGATAGAAATTATCTCTGAGATTACCAAAACCAGTCTCATATTCGTCCCATGTCTTATAAAAGTCGCTTTTAGAAACCCGCCTTTGTATAACAGTCCATCCACCACCTGATGTGTTCATATCGCAACGTACTGAGATGCCTTTCTTATTGGAAGTAGGGTAAATAGTGTAAATACCAGTTTTATTGTGACCTTCATTGTAAATATCTCCACAGTCAATGGGTTTTGGTTTATGTACATTTAACATAAGAGCAGAAATATGTGCAATTATGTCTCTTTTTAACTCCGCAAGATCTGTTTTTGTGGCAAGGTCTGTCCTGTTTGAATCACATGTACACTTTAGACGGTTTGAAATGTTGGCAAAAAAATTCTCTATGTATTCATTTGTGTCAGAAGATCTATCAAAGTCTGACTCGCTACTTTCATCACTTTGCATCTTCACCAGAGGAATATATATGTTACTTTCATGTTTTGCAGCAACGTATCCTAAAATAACAGTTATGGCAAGTATCCTGCACATTTTAGTAGATTTCCCTTCAATCAATTTATATTAATTGTTTATGGATTTTTTTTAATCACAAACTGTAAATCGATGTTAACTTAATTAACAATCTGCGGCGAACGACTTGTAATTGCAAAATGCGAATGAACAACTCGAACATGGTATAAATACATTCTCTTCAATTCATAAACAAAGGAGAATCTGAATATATAAGGAGATCAAATGAATGCAGACATTGATAGTGCGAAAAACTAAACAAGATGAAAATAGACATATCTCTCATCTTATCAGCAAACAATTGGATGATCTTGATAAAAACAGATTCAGACAGAAAGAAATGTCAAAGTTTGAAAGAAAATATAACATCTAAAGTAAACGTTGACTTTATGTAATTCAAACTATACAACAGGAAACAACAACAAAACTGAAGTTTGCAAATAGCCTTATATTTATTTGTCATTGCATCTCAATGCGTTTCACATCGTAGTGATGGTGACAATTTTTGATGTATTATACATATTTTTTCCTAAATATAACTTTAGTGTACTAAAATCCTCTTGAGTAATCTAACTTTACCATTAATGAAAATAACAGTCGATAAAAAGTTTTACACCTTTCGTACTATTTTTTTTACCCTGTAAGTATGTTAAAATCTTTCAGGTATTTTTCTTTATTTTGAAGAAATATGTACAAGAATGAAAACAAATTGATTTTTCTTTTCACTTTAGACAAAATAAACTTCACTCAAATAATAATGTTGATATGACTTTGATACAATGATGTATTATGTATAAATTACGTATACTTAAATGTCCCAAAACAGAAAACTTAATGGTCAATAAATATACATAAAATTTGATCATTGCAATAATTACACTTTCCATAAGTATTTCAAATATTGAAAAAACTACACAATATATCATTTGGGTATTCTTATAAAATATTGCTGAAAGGAAAAAAAATGTTGATGTTGTTCTAATTGATTAAGTATGAAAATTTGTATGATGAATAAAATATTTTTTTAGAACAATTTATTGTCTGCTATATAAATATATATGTAATATCGGATATTGTAGCTTATATTTAGCAACAACATCCATGTATATTTAATTCATTGTTTGTTGTCATGTGAGCTATTAAACACTCACAAAGTTAATATATCTTGTATTAAAGACCTTCTATTATGTACCAATTCACTCTTAGTTAACGCCTGTTTCATTGTTTTTTGTTGTTGTTTTTTAAATCGAAATATCAAATATCACTTTAATTTTAAGTAACATAAAAGCAAAAGTAAAACCTTATCATTACTTTAGGAACTCCTAAACTCTAAAGTTGCATGACAAATACACCGATGTTTCATTTTACTGGACGATATTCATACAAGAATTGTACGGATCGAAATTCCGGCCCTACCACAATGTAAGCTATCATTTATTTCAAGCTTTCAATAAATATTGAAGCATTAAAAAGAAACACATAGCTGTAAATAATGTACAAAATGCCCATAGAGACAAAACGACAATTTTATTTGTTACAGTTAAGGTATGACCCACCTTATGCATTACCTATGGTGTTCCGTTTCGACAATCGTGATTTTTTTTTCGTTCTTACCTGCGATGCACGATGGTGAAAAAGCGATGGTACGATGACAAGATGATGAAAACACGATGGCGCGATGGTGAAAACACGATGGCACGATGGTGAAAACGCGATGTTATATCGCGTTTTCACCATCGTACCATCGCGCTTTCACCATTATGTCATCGCGTTTTCACCATCGAACCATCGTGTTTTCACCATCGTACCATCGCGTTTTCACCATCGTACCATCGCGTTTTTACCATCGTGCCATCGCGGTTTCACCACCGTGCCATCGCGTTTTCACCATCGTACCATTGCCATTTCATTATTGTGCAATTGTCTTCCGGTGATCATGCGCAATGGTACATTTTTATCAACAATGTATGCCTTCTCATTATTTAACCCCGCACCCTTTCTATTTGCATACCTTTGAATTCTTAGTATTTAAAACATGAAAAATTACAAAAAGCAATCGCTCAAAAATTTAGAAACTTAAAGTCATCCTTGTGCACTGTACATCTGAAGTTCAAGTTGATATTTTAAATACAGCAAAAGAAAAAAATCAAACATATATATAGCATATATAAGCATATATCAAATAGTCTTTCTAACATTCTAATCATTTACAATGACATGTCTTATATCCCATAGTTAAAGGAAAAGATGTTTTAGTATTAGACAAAAATATATTACAAACATAGCAAGGTTATGTGAGTAATTATTATATGTCAAAGTATAAATCAATGAAATATTTGTATAAGAGTCTCGGAATGTACATGATCAAGTAAGAGGTGAATACGATTTTAGTTATCTTAAAATTATTTTATCCGCTTTTCATAATTTCAAATATTCGCTCTTGTTTACTGTGTTAATGAGATGTTCAAGCTTGAATAACAACAACAACAACAAAATATTTATTTGATAAGAAGGCCACCGGCCCATAATATACAATGCAACATGGCCAATCATTTTACGTACCCCGATTAATATCATCTGATATACAAAGAATATGGTGTATATAAATGAAGACATTACGTATTGCTGTATCACAACTTGAGTTCATTTATGAGTAAAAATCATTTAAATTTGTTCTTCGATAAGTATAGTTGGCGTACTTCATTATATTTAAAGCAATGAAAAAAAAGCATGAAACTCACAATCATTAAATGAGATATTTATATTATTTAAACAAAAGATACAAAAGCGTTGTTCTCTTGGTATATTTAAATGTCTGCCGACTTCTATTTTAAATTTGTGGTTAGAACATCTAAACTAAGAAAAAGATTTTTTATAAACGAATGGTAAATCCAATATTAAGTATTTTTCTACATTTAATAGTGATTTAAAATCTCTGAAATGAAAGCATCGACTGAATATGCCAATTTTGAGTGTAGCAATCAACCAGTCTCTGTTTAATCAAATGGATAAACAGGTCAGGATTACCTTTTTCTTGCAAAATCCAGGCAAACCAAAAACCATACTCGAATAATATGTTTTTTATCTTAGTAGCTAAATTATATCTCCCACTATCATCATGATTTTTTAACATAAGATAACACTGTCGTGGATATCTTGATTGTCAATAATTTACACCAATACTTAACACGGTTAGTCATATAAAATAATAATGGTAATCTGCCACATTCTCCTAATGTAATTGCGGGTCTGTAATAGTAATTAAAAAATTCTTCCATTCATCGCTCAGCCAAGCGCATTCAAATATGTAATGAATTTCATCGCCTATCTCATTGTTACAAAAGATACACATTCTCTAATTGATTTGGTTTGGGCCCAATTTCTGATTTCTATTGGTTATGTATGGTTTCGTGTAAGAATTTTTTTCGTAATGTAGAAAAGGCTTAGGAGTTGATAAAAGTTTTTTTTCCGAATTCAAATTCTTTCTTGAATATTCTGTAGAATGTACCTTTGCTAGAATTTTCAATAGGGAAAACCAATCATTTAGAAAAAATAGTTTATGTCTTATTGCGAGTTTAAACCACTCGTTTCCAAAATTTTGTGCATTCCATATATCAAATAAACCCCATTTAATGAAACAATTGTCTAAAGGTTTGCAATCTAAGGATTTTTTGTCATATTATTTTCACTTATTTTTTTGAAGTATTATATATAATATCGTATGATTTTTCAGGACGCGGTCCGTTGCTATGAAAAATTGACAGGAAGTAGTATTTTCTCGCGCATGCGCAATTTGCGTAGGGCAAAAAAGCATCGCCCTACATAGAAATGAGGTAGAAGTTCATAGGCAATTCCGAATTCGTTGAAGGTAAAAATTAGAAAATCATATGAAATAAAGACAAAAGCTGCTTTTATAGCTTAGTGGCCAAAATTGCCATAAAAATGCATTGTTTAAGAACTCCACCTTACGAACACGGACCTGATATAGAGATAATTGTGGGGAAATATTTAAATTGGCAAATAAATCAGTCAATTAAATAGTTGTTGAATTCGACCATATAAAAAAAAAGAAATTTTATGATTTATAAAACCGAGGTTAATTATCAATCTGAAAAAGCCGGAGCACGTGATAATGTATTTAAAATTTAGTTTTCAGTTTACCTAATTTTATCCTTTATCCGACTTGACTGTGATGCCAAACAGATTTGTTTTAAAGTCACATATCTATTTAAATAATTTTTCAAACTCTTGAGAAGTTAAGATGTGTGGTGAAATAACACACATTTTATCCGGCTCCCGGTTTTACATGGAAATGCACGTCACGTACACTATTTGTCACTTCACAAAATCAATTAACATTGATAAGATTGGTAAAAATAAAAGTTTAGTACCGGGTTAAGGTGTTACCTATTTTTAATACTAACTTGGTGGTAGTAATGATCCCGAATGACCAGAGTATATAACAATACTGAAGTGCTGCATGGGGTTATTGTTTTTATAGCTGCCACGAATCTGTTATTTCTGTTTCATCTTTATTATCATTTGTATGTTATTATTTCATTGAAATTGTATCGAAGATGTTTGGATATGATAAAAGTGTTCATATAGTGAGAAAGATATGTTATCCGATATCAACGTTAGCCTGCTTTTTGATACTGCAAAGCAAACTAGATATATGTCCATAGGACACGGATGCCCCCGATAAATTGCATTTTACCTTTAAGAACTACCTTAACCTGCGTGCTGCGCAAGAAATCCTCTGAGCCTGGTAAAGACATCTGCCAAACATTTAATGATACAATGAAATACAGGAATGAAAAAAGTTACAAATCAAAGACGTTAGTAGACAAAAACTTTTCAACCAATGACCTCGAAATCTAATATTTACAATGTTGCAGACATAGGTCCTGTGCAAAGAACACCGTCTGGTCGAAAAGATATATGTAAAATAATTTGACAATCCATCAAGTAACGACAGAGTTATTATGTAAACAGGATTTAACGTTTTGCCTCCAAAAGTGACCTTGGCATTGATGATGCTTACATATGTCTTGCATGCAACACATATTCGACAAGTTTTAAGATAGACAATTTTTGTCCTTTGCCCTCCGAGTATGAACATA